CGGCCAGAGGACAGCCTGGATGGCCCAGGCCGTGGCTGAGCCTAAACTCCAGAGCCTCAGGGACCTGCGGGGACGGCTGCCAGCTGCAGGGGCCCGAAGATAAAAGCGTTAATTTAGCTTGGCCGGCGTCCAGAGAGCTGAGCAAAGCGAGGCCTCCCGGCGAAGGGTATAAAGATATAAATAAATAAATAAGACGGAAACAAGTTGGCAGATGTTTGCGCTTCCCTTTAAAGAGTGAGTTGCACGCACTCGGCCCGGCCTGCGTGCCAGGCGCGGGGCCAGGCGCGTGACGTGGTCACTCCCTGAGCCCCACTGAGGCCCCGCAGGTCAGCAGCACCGGGGCTGCCTCGCAGTGAAGTCGGTGGGGCCGGAGAGGGGGGTCTTGCCTGGGGTCACGTGACCCCCACGGCTTTGTGCCGAGAGCCAGCTCTGGGCAGGAAATGGAAACAGGCCGGTCGTTTTCCCAGCGGACCCTGGATGGAAGGAACGCTCGGTATCCTAATAAGGTTTCAGAACCGAAAGGAGTGTCTTCATCACGCTCAGCTCTGCCAGCACCATCTCATCCATCGTCTCTGCACTTGGACGCACACAGGGCGGACCGTTAGCCACGCAGCGAACGTGGAGGCACCTTGGGGGAGGGTCTGAGCAAGTTGCCAAGATGCTCGCCTTCAGGAGGGTGGTGCGTCCCTGACAAGGAGCCCGGGAGGCTGCCCCTGCCCGGGATGCCAGAGGGACAGAACAGGGCCACTGTGGGAGCTGCCTCCTGCACGCCCCCTATTGGGGATCGAGCCCGAACCGCGGGCATGTGCCCTGACCGGGAATCCAACCATGACCTCTTGGCTCATGGGTCAATGCTGCACCACACAGCCACGCCGGCGGTCCTGGCCATTTTAGATCAGACCTTCCATTCACCCACAGAGAACGGGAGCCACAGCCTCTGCAAACAGGAGTAGATTCCACTGCTGCTGAGGCGGTTGGAGAAGCTCACGTTGAAATGCTGTTTCTGAGATATTTCTAATCCGTGCCCCGTTTAGATCAATGTAAACCGTGTGCGCCTTTCTTCACTATTATTTGGAATTTCAAGTGCAATGAAACACGAAGTCAAAGCAAGTCAAATGAATCACGTCATTGATGTACTTGATGCAAATGGCCTCCCCCTGCTGAGATCTTAAAATGCCCCTCAACAGGGGGGAACCTGGCTGCTTCCAGCTGAGTCCTGATGGAGCGAGTCAGTGCCAGGCCACGGTAAAGAGATGCGGACAGCACAGCACACCTATGCTGCTCACACCTGCCCAGCACGTCTGCCTGCCCCGCGCTGGGCAGAAGGCTCCGTCACTCCCCTTCTCCATAGATGGGAACGTGGCCAAAGCTGAGCCAATCATAGCGCCTCACCTGCCCCTGGCCGCAGGGATTGGCCAGGGGGGTGGGCACGTGACCAAATCTGGGCCAATCACAGCGCTTCATTAGCCTCTGGCTACAATGATGGGCTCAGGGAGTGGGCCCATGACAGAACCCGCACATGACTTTACAAGGTGGAGAGGTGGCCACGAGAGGAGAGATAGGAGAGCCCCCTCTCTGTTCTGGAAGCTGAAGGGCAGGGGAACCCTGAGGCCAGGCACCCCTTTGCTGCCGCCAGGAGAAGCGGTCCCGACAGAGAAGCCCACCACACAGAGGCCAAGGTAAAGAGCACAGGAGGGCCCCGCCGGTGTGGTCAGTGGTGGAACGCTGACCTACG